AACATAGCAACACCATACAACTAACATTGCAACATGATAAAACTAATCTAGCAAAGATATATAACTAACCTAGCACGAACATAAAGCTATCATAGCAACACAATACAACTAACATTGTAACATGATAAAACTAACCTAGCACCAACATAAAGCTAACATAGCAACAAAAAAAATAAATAAATAAATAAATAAATAAATAATAATAATAATAAAATAAAAAAACATAGCAACACCATACAACTAACATTGCAACATGATAAGACTAATCTAGCAGAGATATATTACTAACCTAGTACCAACATAAAACTAACATAGCAACACCATACAACTAACATTGCAATATGATAAAACTAATCTAGGAGAGATATATAACCAACCTAGCACGAACATAAAGCTATCATAGCAACACAATACAACTAAAATTGCAACATGATAAAACTAACCTAGCACCATCATAAAGCTAACATAGCAACAAAAAAAATAAAAAAATAAAAAAATAAAAAATAAAAATAAAAATAATAAAATAAATAAAAAACATAGCAACACCATACAACTAACATTGCAACATGATAAGACTAACCTAGCAGAGATATATTACTAACCTAACACCAACATAAAGCTAACATAGCAACACCATACAACTAACATTGCAACATGATAAAACTAACCTAGCAGAGATATATAACTAACCTAGCATAATCATACAACTAATCTAGCACCATCAGACAATTAACCTAGCATGCTAGGTTATTTATATTTAATTGCAAGTTTAATTGTCAACGGTCAACGCCGGAAGTCAACGGTCAATGCCGGAAGTCAACGGTCAACGCCGGAAGTCAACGGATTTTTGCCGGAAGTCAACAGATTTTCACCGGAAGTCAACGCCGGAGTCAACGGTCAACGCTGGAAGTCAACGGTCAACACCGGAGTCAACGGGTCAAAATAATATTTAAATAATTAAAATAATAAAAAGAAAAGATTAAATCTTAGACACTCATTATGTACCAAATCTTGTGACTAGAAATGAGCCCCACGTCCTCACTTTAAGAATGTGGATGCATTGGAACCAATCCCTATTACGTGAATAAAAAATAATTAATCATAATAGAATAATAAGAACATTGGCTTTATAGGTAAACCGTCGTCCTCACAAACTAATATTTTGAAGCCTTTTTAACTAGTGACAATATATATGATTTTGAAGCCTCACAAACTATTCACATCATGATTCGGGACTATCTCTCTCTCTCGCTCTCTCCCAACACAATACAAATGGATCTCAATCAAATTTCATTACCAAATCCTAACAAATTATTCGTTTAATTAAGGGAAAATGTTACAAGTACATAATAAATGTGCATAAAGGTGTACATAACACTCACATGGAGTGAGGTTCACTTAATTTTTTACTTTTAATCGGTCACACTCAATGTGAGTATTATGTACTCCTCTATGTACAATATTATGTATCTATAGAATCTCTGTTTGCAAACATATCTTTGTAATTGGTTATTTCTTCATTCTAACGACTAATCTAATTCAAAATGTAGACCGCGAATAGAAAAATGACATACTATACAAGATGTGAAATGGGTGAACGAGTATGATCGTAATCCTATTCAATTTATTTTTTATTCAATTTGTGCAAGTAAATATAGCAATATTTATTTTTTATTAAATATCTTTGTACTTATGCGGTATTGATTTTTTTATTATAGAAAGATCGTATCACTAGAATTATATGGGCTGCACATATGAAAAAATTGATGGACAAAACAAAGAAGGTCATGTCTATGGAACTCAAAAATACCAAGTGGAGAGTAAATATGGCTCATTTCGGTCGCCATTGCCCAGCTCAAAATTGTGATCCACGGTATGACCAATTTGGTGAAGTCCAAAGGCGACTTCCCCTTTTTCGATTTTATATGCGAGGTTTTGTTTCTCTCAGTTATGTTGTACGTAAAGATCAAATTGTGCTATTCAGTAATATTTTTATCTATTTATTATGTTTTTTTTGTATAATTGATCATTCTATTTTAAATTTATAATAAGTTTACAATTTATTTGTAGATGCAATTGGTCTGCTGGTTGAAATTGAATCCGTTCAAATGAAAAAGGTTGATGGCGTCTAACACAGATGATTCTGTTTACTTTC